CTCACCCTCCTAATACCATTCATGGAGGGTTCCCGGAGAAGGGCCTCTGTTGCTGATCTCAAGGGGCAATTAACCACTGTTTACAGTTTGCATGTAACATTACCCATGGTTAGGCTGAAAAAGAAGTGCTTTGTTTCATGTCTTCACAGAAATAATAGAGGAAATGTGAGAGTTAGAAATCATGGGAGCCCTCAGACTGTTGCAGGCACTTCTGTTAGCATTACACCCAAACCAGGCAATTACATAAAAAACAGTGGGGTTTACTTTCTCATCAGCGTGTTTAGGATTGCAGCCTTACAGCACAATCCTATATGTGGGGGATGCTGGGAGTTGGGTGCCTTTGTTCTGTCTAAATAGGTAGAAATTTTGGATGCAAAACAAGGGATCAGGACAAGAGCGGGACCCCTCATTATTGTTGCATTACACGTGCAACTTTTCTGCGTCCTTGGCTAAACAAGAAAAAAAAGTCCATGCCTTTCGCAGTTCCAATGGTGTGGAGGGAACCCACCCATCATAGTAGCGACTGCTATTTTTGCATGGTTGCACCAATCAAAAATCAATGAAGGAATGGAAAGTTATGTTATTGATATCAATAAAAAGATACATTTATAAAGATTGGTGTGGCACCATTCTCATTGTTATATCACATGTTGCGGAAAAGTTATGGAGCATAATTGCACATCCCCCTCGTAATTTTGAATTATTTTGATGTAAGTTTGACCTTAAGCTGTATCTTGGAAACTGGAGCCAATTAATACTCAGGACTTAATTTTCCTTAATTAGTGACCCAATTCTGGTAAAATTTAGCTACTTTCATTTCTGAGGCTTTCTCCTTATAGACCAGTGTCATAAGGACTGATAATCCGTTGGCACACAGCCATGGAAAATGGATCACAGGTTATGCAGAGACACAGTTTGGTAGCATTTCCTGTGTATGAGACAGGGATGTGGCTTCCTGTGTATAAACCACATCTGCTACTAAGGCCATTTGTCACCTACAGTTTCTCTGAGAAATACTGAGTTTGGTGAGGCATGGAGGTGCCAGTAAGGTCTCCAAAACATCTTCATAGAAGTGTCCTGAAGTCTCTTTGAGAGTGGAGTACACAGTGGTACCTTTCACCTGTAAAGCCTTATGCAGCCTGGCCCTCCCATACCTGGCAGAGCACTTCGTCACAGAAGCCAAGACCATTTAAAGCAGCATTTTTGTTTTTCACTGGGATTTTTTGTGACTTTCTAATGTATCGTATCTTCCGTACATCACTCTGTGTTTTCTCTTTGAACTACTTTTCCAGATTCTCCCCAAAGGCAGAGGCAAAGGGTACAGTAGTCTGTTCTAGGTTCCTTGGGAGAGGTGTGCACCAATGTTCCTTCCCCATAGGACTTCCTAAAAGAATAGGATCTTGTGCTTGTTTTAGGGTTCCATTGCAGCCTTTGTAATATCAGCAATTGTACCCATTCCCATTTTTCTCTCAGACCTGTTTGCACACCTAGCAACAAACACATCTCACACTAAGGAAAGTGGGCAACTCTGGAACCCTGGTGAAAAGGAATATTAAGGGGATATTGTGAACCACTACAATAGGGCTTGAAAACTAGAATTTAACATGTGATACCCATTGTAACAGTTCACTGTTAACATTAAAATACATCAGTTGTTGGAAGTTTTTTTGTTATTTACAAAGCTTGCTGCTAAGTCCCTCTTGGCTTTTTCTTATGCAGATTTATATTTTCTCCCTGTTAGTGACTCATATTTACTGAGTCACTTTTTCCCTGTGGCTTATTACTCTGAACTTGTGAAATGTCAGCTGCAATCAGTAGTAGTGATGATGATGATGATGATGGTAAATGCACCCGAGAGAAATGTTCTGAATGCTTTTCCAGCCATTGTGTGTAGATTAGGAGTCACCTTTGCTCACTTGCTACCCTGGATAGTAGGAATAATTTATCCATTACAACTTAGTTTAAACATGAATAATGCCTGATTTTCATCTTGGTATTATGCATATAATGTGTGTGTTTAGTACACATTCATTCTTTGTTTGTAAATTCAGCAATTAAGCATGGTTTGCCCATGCAAATGAGGGGTTGTTTTATTTCTGAGGATACACTCCACTGTGACGGGGCTTTAGAAGAACTGAGTCCCCTTTTATGCTGCTGCACTGTGTAACTTTTAACTGGCTCACACTGCAGAATAGCATGTGAGCAGGCAAAGATATTTTGTCCCCACTTTGTCCATATGTGATCATCAGTGCTGGAGGACAATCATCCTTCCATCTGGCAGGGGAAAAAATTGAGTCCACTTCTGAAATGTTCATTGACTGCACGGATCGCTTTGTATAGTGAGTAATTATAATAAATGCCATGTCTTCTCTGATATAAGGGGTTATACGTTACCACTATTCATTCAGAAGCACACACAGATTTGCTGCGTCTGACCGTCGGGCATTTTAGCGAAGGTAAATGGTTGAGAAGTCAATCGGATTGATAAAAAGATCGCCCCATTGGTTTCCATGTTGGAAGCCTCTGGGTACTTTTCTAGGATTTGTTTAATTTTATTGTTCCAGTGGCAGTGCTAGGGCATGGCCCACTCAGGTTGGAGCCCCAAATAACTTATTTGCTCTGTGTCCTCTGGTCCTGAGCCCTGGATCTTTGATGTACGTTACTGGTTTTTCGGCGCCAGGTAAAGACCTTTTTATTTAAACATCATTTCAATTGTTAAAACGTATGATCTGGCCTGGGCAACTTCTTCTTCCTTCTCTTTCTCCTCCTATATTTTTATTTTATACTGATAATTTTAATTTTGTATTTGTAAATCAATGTATTTTTTGTATTGTTATATTTAATGGTAATTTATTATGTACTATTGTATTTCAATGTATTTTATCATGTTGTAAGCCGCCCCGAGGTTTCGGCAAGGGGCGGCATAGAAATGTTATAATAATAATAATAATAATAATAATAATAATAATAATAATGTACTTGGTGCAGTCCCTGGCCCCCCAGGCTGAGAAGATGGAACAGCCCTGCCCTAGAGACAACTTGGGCGCCATCTCCTGCAGGCCTCTCTGGTGATCTGCAAGTAAGGCTGCCCTGACTGGCACTAGGTGCAAGGCCAGGCAGAAGGCTGCTTCCAAAACAGCACCCCTGTGTTGCATTTCCTTCCTCTCTCTCTCCAGCACGCAGCTGAGTGCGAAGTAGCATTACAGTCGCTCAGCTCGTGATCTTGTGGTTCTTTGTTGGGCATTAAGACACACGCAGGCAGCCAGTAATGCGGAGTGGTGCTGGGGAAACCACATACTGGGGCTTTTGCAATAGGAAGGCATATAAAGGACGGCATAAACAAACGAACAGACAAACAAAGGCTGAATTCACACATGATAAGCCATGGTAGCTTAAACATCACTGTGCTGTCTGAATCCAGCCAGAGAAGGGCTTCTGCGTGGGTAACGAGCCACATGGCTTGGCAAAGCCTATGCTCCGCCTACACCCAACTCCTAAATGAGGATTGCTGTGTTGTCTCAGCCTAGATGTAGTCTGCATTTCTACACATGGGGGAAGAAGAGTGGGATATTAATGAGAGGTTATAATTTGGGGTGGCAACATCACAAGCATTGTTCAGGTCTGAGCCTTCTACATCATTTCCATTCTGTACTTTGAAGTGGAAATGTGTCAAGAAGAGTTTGTAGTGTTCTAGTCATCATCCTAGTTGGTTCAACAAGATTGCTGCTCCATGCAAAGTGGTTTTTCCCTTCTCTTTCCCTTCCACCCACAGGGAAGTGGCATCAAGATGATGTAGACAGCTGTGCTCTTTGACAAGCAAAGGTTTTGGGGGGTAGATTTGCCAAAAGCATAAAGGAGACAGCAATTGTGCAGGATTTCTTCATAGGATCCAGTATGAAGTAGTAGTCTTTATATAACCAACAGTAGGCAATAGATAACTAGATTTATGAAGTCCTTCCTTTCCAAAGACGACCTCGTTGGTGGAAAATATGAGAAAGATGAAGACAAGCAATGGCAGGGTGACAGGATGGTGGAAAAGGAGATATACTGGCGGGGGGGGGGGGGATTGGGGGGGTTTTTCCCTGCGACCCTTGAAAACCAACACTGCCTTAGTGATGCATGTGCTTCAGGAGTGGGGGGGGGTGTCCTCTTCTTCTCTAATGTTCCCACCACATACTCTGAGAGCACTGGCCATTTATTTATTTATTTATTATATTCCACCTTTTTTCTTTCCAAGGTTAATCTATTATAATCGTTGTGTTGTTGTCCCGTTATGTTGTTTTATAATTTTATTGTTATTTAACGTGAATATTTATTGAATGCATATATACTTTTTAAAAATTGTAAACTGCCTAGAGAGCCTGCAGGCTATGGGGCAGGATATCCATGTAATTCCTTCCTTCCTTCCTTACTTAATTAATAACTCAACACAGTTTACATTATCCTTCTCTTCCCAGTCTTATGTTCTCAACAACTACGACAATCCTGTGAATAGGATGGTGTAATTTGGTGACCTGCCACAGCAGGGGGGTGGATCGGATGGCCTTCTTGTCTCCTTCCAGCTCTACTATTCTGTCTGTGCCTGGCCCAACATCATCCAGTGAGCTCCCTGGCTGCGTGGGGGCTAGAACCCAGATCTCCTGAGTTTCCGTCCCACTCTCTTGACTACTACCCCACAATCAGGCTTAAGTTAGAGTAATACTCAATAAACACTGGACCTGTTTTTTACCCTTACATTTCTTCTCTGTTCCTTTCATTTTCAGAAGCTCAGAAAGCAGATTTTAGACTGCTGATCTTATTTTAAGAGAAAGCAGTCATTTTGTAAATGAGCAGTGAATGTATAAGAGGTGCAGCTATTGGAGAGATTTAATAGAAACAGTGTGCCTGATTCATTCCCTGCTTCGATGCTTCCCTTCCAAATGTTGGAATAAAGGTCTGATAGAGCATAGATACTTTGGACCTAAGCCTGACCAAGCTTTTCTTATTGTTCTTCTTGAAAGGTGTACAAGGGCGATGAGACCGCATTCCAAATCTCAGGCCTTCAAACTAACACAGACTACCGATTCCGCGTGTGTGCGTGTCGCCGGTGCTTGGATACCTCACAAGAACTTAACGGACCTTTCAGCCCATCTGTTGCCTTTATGCTCCAGCGGAGTGAGCTCATGCTTACAGGGGAAATGGGACGGATAGATGACCCTAAGACAAAAAGCATGATGCCTTCGGACGAACAATTTGCTGCCCTCCTGGTCCTCGGCTTTGCAACTATCTCCATCTTGTTTGCCTTTATACTACAGTATTTGTTTATGAAGTAAAGGTCCAGCACGAGGGGTTGAGGTATCCTAACTAATGCTACGCATTATAATCCACATGTTTTATTCAGATATTCCTGTTTATTTTCTTTCTCAGTGATGTTTTCCAATACATTTTATACCGCTTTCCTGGATCATTGGGGGGGAGGGGGAGGAAATGAACATCGGTGTTTTAGGTGCACCTTTTTGAAATTTAAGACTTGGAAGTGGTTAGAAATATCTAAGCCAGATACCAAAAGCAAATAATCTTTTTTTTTCCTTTTAAAGGGTAACCAGTATTTCTTAGTTTTATTTCCAGAATTCAGAAATGTAACCAATTTGCCTTCACATTTTTGCTTTTTGCTAAAATCATTCAGTCTTTAGGTTGCAAGTTTATTACACTAGAATAATTGCTTTGGGCTCTTCCGCATCTGCAAGGCTTATCCACCAGTACGTAATAGAGTCGCAGCTAGATACGGTGTTTGGCAATACACAGTGTTGGACAAACAGTAATTATCAACCTTGCATATGATAATATTCACTATGTTTCTGTCCCCCCCACTGCTTCCCTGTTGTTTTTTCTCCATGGTAAGATTTTTAAATTCATCTACGTAATCAACTATATATTTAGTACATTTCAATCCAAATAATTTATCCTGCAACCTCAAGTCCTTTTTAATAATAATAATCTTTTTATTCCAGCTGTTTGCGCACTATGAACTGCCTGTATAACAAATCCGATAACCAGATAGCTTTATAAATGACAAAGCATTGCCGTTTCTACCATTTTCTTTATTTTATAGCAGTAATTTTAAGAGGGCATTGTGCAATAGTTACTCCCATGTCAAGCTGTTTGTTTGTTTGTTTTAAAAAGCTGCTTTTAACTCATTTGTTTGCCTTTGTATATAAACTTACTCTTAATCCAATCACTAGATTTGTTATATTCATCCTGATTTCTGTGTTTAGAACTGGTGAAAGCTTGCTGCCTTTGCTATTTATATTAAGTATTATCTTTTAACACAAGTAATCTTTAAATCGGCCACTTAGCCCGTCTGTATTTCTTCCTTGGAAGAACTGGGAGGAGTTTATCAGAGGCGTCAGGCATGCTCAATGTGGCGAGCGTGTACAGATGCTGGTGGAAAGGGCGCCAGTTTAGCTTCTCACCTCCCTGCCCCTGGTAGCATCTATGGCTGCAAAGCAAGTGGTGTGACATCTGTTCCAGCTCAATTTCATTGGCTGCTACTTGGAAGGCTGGAGGGATACTGCAGCGCATTAACATGAAATTATGCCTGTCCGTCACAAGAGACGATACCAAGGGGGCTGGGATGAGGAGACCTGGGGTTGGTGGATTCAGTGGTAGCCACACATGCCCCATAATATCTCGCTCCAGCCTTGAACAAGTGCTCTCATTCTAGCCTGTGTGATCCATTGCAAATGCCAGCATCATTTTCCCGTTGGAACATTGTGTCTGTCTTTACATCAGAGGCTCCAACACACATATTAATCCAATCCATCAAGACCCTTGATAACTCTTTTGTTTTTCAAAACAACTTTGAGTTACTGGTTTATTTATATGATGTCAATGATGTTCAAGTGCCTCAGGGATATCAAAGAGCAGGAGGTGCAAGTCAATTCCGAATGGGTGCAACAGATACAGGGTACAAGCTGCCAGGAAGGCCTCCTATGTCTGGCATTGAAGAAGCAACCCTGTGAAACTCCAGTTCGTTTCTGTAGAGCTTGTGCAGGAGAAAATGCTGCTGGCAATTTAGCAGTGCATGTGCTGGAGAAGTTCTCGTGAACTGTGCTCCACACTTAGTATACCCCTGTTTTTCTGTTTTTAAAGTTTTGTATAATTTCTTGCTGGTTCTGGTTTTGCTTGCATCATAGCTCTTTGGTCCTCTGTGTTTTCTATGAGACCGTGTCCTGTACGCTAGCTTATATTCCCATAACCAAAGTAATGGGGAAACCAACATTATTTTTGTTTTAGGTTTATTTATACTCTATACTGCATACAGTACTTTAAATGCCAATTACAGTGCAATCTCTATTATTTATTGTAAAAAATAAAAGAAAAGAGAAAAAGTGTACTTATGTACTAAATCTCCCCCCACCCCTGCCTTGTAGCATGTTACATTTCTGTTTGTTTTATACAAGTGTAAGTTAGGTAAAGCGTTTTTACCCAGCAGCGTTCCTAGCATTATTAATCTTCTTACAGTTTCTTGTATGTTTAAAATGGGAGTGTCTTAGTATGTTAATTGCCAAAAAGAAAATAAAAAAAGAAGGAACCCACCGAACATAAGCCAAGCATTGTGCTGTGCGTTGGCCATTCAGTCTATGGGGTTTGTCTAGTGAAAGAGCTCGTTAACTTGCGCTGTTGATCAAAAAGTTTACATGTAGCCAAAAAATCATGACCATTTCTTGGAAGAATATTCTGATGAATTATTCTGTGTGCCTCTTTAGATGTAGCAACCTCGTACAAAGGTTCTGTATTTTGTTATTGACTATTGTCAGTTTAAGAATTTGCCTAGCAAACTAATGGTATTGAGCTGACTTTATTCTTTCCCCTACCCCACTTTGCCCAAAATCAAGGTTCATCAAATGTTTCGAATAGTAGTGTGATGTAGTTTTTTTAACTAAAATTAATTGAGAGTTATCTGTAATGTGGGTGTTCCCAAACATAGAAGTACCAGAATGATTATCTTGGTGGAGGAATATTGTCTTTAAAAGCAACAACAAGAGACAAATTTAGAAAAAGTTAGTTGTTCTTAACCCTCACTGAAATCAATGGAAAGAGTTAGTCCAGGGTAACTCAAGTCATGTTGATTCTAATGGGTCTTCAGGACCGCTAGTTTTTCCTGGATTTGGGGAAGTAATTTTGGGAAAGCCACAAGTAGATCTTCATAGACATTCTCTTTCCCATCCCCTCCAAAAAATATTTGATGTGCTATGGTAGCTAAAAATCCCTATCTTGCACCTTTTAACTGAGCAGGAAGTGAACTACTGTAAACTTTGTAAGGTGCTCTATAAACTTAGGTTTATACTTTTCAGGTTAGATCCATACCTTGTGAGTCATGATTGCCCCCCCCCCACACACACACACACAAATCAATGGGATTTAAGTTGATCATGACCAGCTTGCTTATTTATTTCAGTGAGATTAAGGCGTGGCTGATAGAGCAATCCTATAGCAGCATGGCCAGGCAAGCCTACAGGAGATCTACCCACATTTTCCTATGCCCTGCTGGCTCAGGGCAGAAGTTGGGTAGATTTTTCCTTCCTTGTTTTATCCCCCATTACCTGCAGAGGGAGGGAGGAGCTCTCAGAAGGTGAGGGATCATCGGCTGCTGGGAATGTATGGAGCAGCCATAGCAGTAGAAAAGCGACCATCCAAGGAGGGCCTTCAGCTATGCTGCTTGCAGAGAGAGCTTCCCTTAGCATCCAGTGGTCACTTGAGCAACCTTTGCAAAGAATACAGGATTGTTCCTTTAGTCTGGACCTATCTCACTGAATGTTTGAGCATATGGACTAATTTCACACCAGAGTGAGAAGGAGAAAAGTCTGTAACACTTTATTATCATGAAAATATTTTTAAATGTGTTAGATATTTTTGTTCGTCATTTCCAGATTTAATGTCTCCCCCATGGCTACACCTACTGCCATTAACAACTACATTCAGGCATCATCCTAGGCCACCCTGAGAATAAGCCACAGCAGGCTGGTTGTTCACTTAAGAACCTACGGTACACCACTCGATTATTGGGTTTATTGTGGGTTGTTCCCCCACTCCATTTCCACACATCTTCAAGCAGGCTGTGGCACGTATGCCTTGTCTTTCAGGGCAGAACCTGCCTTGTCTCCCTTTCCCTGCTCCAATCACTACTCCTTTGCAGTTGCCACCTTTTGTGGGGTTCTTTGGAGCCCCCCAAAACAGTAGTTGGGGTGATTTATTTTATTTTATATTGTTAACTTGTTTTATATTTTATTGTATTATATTTTAATTGATATCTTTGTGAGCTGCCCCAAGGCTTTGGCGAATGGGGTGGCATAGAAATTTTCTAAATAAATAAATAAATTTCTCCCACTAGCCACTTTTACAGCTCTCCCATGTGTGTAGTCTTGCCTGGTCAATTGTCTGGTCTGCTTCAGCCATCACAGAGAGTGATGAATTGGAATAGGTACCCGATTGGCAGAGTAAGGCTGCATGTGGAGCAATTTGTACTCAGTTGCCAAGGGCCAATTGCCAGGTTTTTCCCCAGCAAAAGGATGGGAGGACGTGAAAAGCAGGTGCACCAGAAGAGGGGAGGCAGGATGTCTCCCTCTGCAAGTGGATCCTCTTGATTTTAAATATTGAATTGACAGTCCGAATCCAAAAAGAGGAGATACTCACCCCTTCCCCACCCCATAATGCACACATTTAATGGCTGGGAAGTAAACAGAGGAAAAAATTGTCTGATGTCAGGGCTGGGAGAAACATGCAAGATATAGTTGTGCACCTGAAATGTTAATGCTTGTAAAAATCCTGCCTTGTTAATGCTCAGATCAGAGAGCTAAAAGTGTGCATGTTTGCCCTGGCAGAAGACAAATAATATTAAAAATTGGGAACCTGATTGCATACATTTGAAGCATGAAATTTTATTTTTTAGAGCTGGGGTACAGAAGACAGACCTGCAAAAGTGTTATTTCAGCAGCAGTAAACAGACAGTCACTGGTTAGCTCATGAAACAGGAGCCCCTCTGGGATGTTTGCTGCTTTTGCTGAGCTCTATAGCCATTCCCAACCACCCATGATAAAACCTCCCTGCCAGTTTTGGTCCACACAACTATTCATGGTGTGCGAGAACAACTCTGAAACAAGCCATGGTTTCTCAGGGTGGCTTGTTTATGAAGAAACAGAACAAAACATGACAACCCACCATTTCTGGGTAACCATGGTTGGTTGTTGTGTTGTGTGAACCAGGTCATTATGACATCAGTGGTTAACGCATACACACTGCCATTTTTATCATAGGGATTCACTGGAATTCATTCTCATGCTGCCATAAAATAAAAGTGTTACAAATTCTCAAACCATTCCTGTTGCTATTTCCATAAACAGCAAACAGAATATAGTTTTGCTGATTGCTTTGTATTTCCCTGTATGTCTTATCCTGACCCAATCAATATTAGCTATGTACAGACAACCTCCCCCACCCCAAAGCCTGTAGACTTTAAAGAAATTGTAAAAAATACAAAGTGGGGAAAGTATTTTAAGAAACTATTTAAAAGGAAAAGAAACATTTTTATATTATCTGCCTTTGTCCTTTATGAACTTGAAATGTTGTAGTTTTCTAATCCTGTTTTGTTAGCAACAGTAAATCAGTATTCACTGTTATCATAAAAAGTGCCCTAAACTGAATGTTTCTGAATATTTTCCTTGCACAATTCTTTAAATTGAAAAAAAAAATAAATAAAAGGGTTGTTTTTTGTTTGGTCTTTTTTTTACCTCACTTATAGGACATACATTCCAAGCTTTTCAACTTTGAAAGAAACAATCATAAGTTTTCTTGTATTGTAAATTTTAACTATTTCATATGCATTGTATTAAAACTGCCATATCAATTTTAATGTATAGATTTTTGCAAATATTACGCTATGTATGTAACTGTATCTGTAGTGTATATGTAATATATTTATGCCCAATAAATGTTTTAATTCTTTCTTGATAGCAAGATTCCTTTTCTGTGGCAAGATCTGCCCATGAAAATCCTTGATTTAACAGATTTTTGCATTGGGCACGCCCCACTTACAATGTAAGCAATCAGTGCTGTTAGCCAGGGGAGGTGAATCATTTCTGACCCTTCTGTGGTTTCCAATTCTAGTAGACAGACAGACACATATACAGAAAGACACAGAGACTATTTCTGAACAGACAGTTTCTGTGCACACATGATTCCTTAGGCATACTAGTTTACAGGTATTTTTAACGATATGGTCATTTGACAGGGCCCCTCCTGTTTTGCAACCACTTTTGCCATGGGTATTATTGGTGGTGGTGGGATGATGATTGATTGGTTCATTGATTGAGGAAAATCTGGTGTTATCTGCAAACGGCAAATTGAAACCCTAGTGCAGTTGTGCAGTTCTGCCTTACCACAGTGCCACCTACTGGTTCTGTAATGGAACACATGGAAGGAAACCTCCCTGGACAAAATGTGTGAAGGAGCTGTTCTTAGTCCCAAAAAGAATCTGGAAGCAGAAGACTCATTAAATGGTAGGTTAAAAGCCTCACATAAAAATGCCCTGAGTCAAGTTCAGAATTGGTTGCATGCTGCTGCTGTTGAAAATCTCGCTGTGCAGACAAGTTATTGCTGCCCAGAAATGAGTGCTATTGTGCAAATAAACTGGCTAGTTTTGCCATCCTAAAAAAGAAAATAGCTTATTTTCCCCTGCATTGACTGAGTGTTTTCAGGGCCAGCTCCAGGTCTGAGGAGACCATGGCTGAAGGTATTTAATGCCTCACCCAACAGGTTTACGAGGTAGTGAGTATCTCCACAACAGGGCTGTTGGAAACACTGGGATCCATGTGGCTAGACAGCAGCCTCACTTCCACCCTGTAATGGCGTATGGCTCTAATTTACTCTAACTGAACTTATTTAAGGTGGAACTAAAGTCTTTAAGTTAGCAGGGGTTGGGGGAACATCTTCCCAAAGTGGCAAAGAGGGAGCACATGCATCCCAGGCCAGATCCAGTGGGACCTCCAGAGTTTTCCTGAGGATGGTCAGTGCTGGCGTTGGAGCTGAGCGTGTGTCAGTGCTGCAGGGCTGGGCAGGAAGTAGATCTCCAGTGTTCTGGATTTCAATTCTCAACCATTAGCTAACCTGGCAGAGGCTTCTGGGAGTTGAAGTTAAAAGATCTGGAGATCATCTTTCTGCCCACAGCTTCTGTGGGTTAGACTAGGGTGAATAAGTCCATAAGAAGTTGGAACAGTACTGCTTCTTTCATTATGCTTCTAAGCTTGGATCTTTGTCTACTATCAGAAAAAATGTACAATACTAATCATTCCACATGAAAAAGGTATTTCTTTGATGTTTTCAGCAATATTCAACAAGATGCTTTCAATAATATTTTGAATAACATTGATTTTGTAATGTCCCCGCTCAAACATATGCATCAATGTTATGTCCATCACTTCAAGCTGGGCCCAGTGGAGACAAAAAGCCCTCAATAAAAGGAGAACAATACATCCTGTCTGAAGTGTAGCATTAAAGTGGCCACTTGTGCACTGGCAAAAAAGAGGAAACACATCACATTTTAAAGCATTGGCAGCAATTTGCATCAGATTTTCACATGCTAATGTAAAGGCATAGATGCAAATCTAGAAATAATTATAAAAATGCAGTATATTTCACCATAATGCAGAAGATGGTGACCAGGAACCCCTGTGCCTGCTTGTTCAGTCCAATTTGATGTTTAACAGTTCTTATGATAACTTATCATTATACTGGAATTGGACACGGCAGCCATTCAAATGGACAATGCCTTCAAACAGTGGATCCTGTTTGGTAAAAGAGGACACATCTTGAAGTAGGAATCATTGGGTACTTCAAAACTGCTACCAGTCAGCAGTCAGCGTGATCTTTTCCATCCATCTTTTCCTTAATGGGTCCTCTGCTTTAAGAAACAAGACTGTAGAATTGGTGAGAAACATGGATGAGTTCTGACTGCAGTAAAACTGACCCATACAATTCCATGAATGAGTCAGAACAATAGCATGATGAAGTCTGCTTCTGGGAGCACGTGTTGTCTCTAGCAAATATCTGTCCCTTAAAAGTGTGGGATGGAAACTCTCTTTGGACCTTCATCTGATAAAGAAAGTGTGTCTAATTACACTCTTCATAAGTGGTCAGTATGTTGGAGGACAAAGTAGGGAGGCTACCCTTGTGAGGAAGCATATGATTGCCTGGCAAAAGTCCCTGGCAGATTCAGTCAAAAAGATTAGGTGGAAAGTGCTGTGAAAAACCTCTGCCTGGGACCTTGAAGGGTGGTTTCTAGTCAAAGTAGCCTATACAGACCAGGGGCAACAAAGCCTCATCCGCTTCATCAAGAGCAACATTACCATTATTCGATTCATGTCTATGCTGCCCAGTAGCAGAGTAAGGGATGGGTTTCCTACACACCACACCCAATGGGGATTCTGCTAGGTCAACCAAGAGGAAGCTGTGGCTCTCTAGATGCTCTTGGACTACAATTCCCCATTCTTCCTAACAAGTTGCTATGCTGGAAACAATGGGGGAATGGGAAGGCCGAACAGTAGCGGTCACTGTCTGTGTGTCCATTGGTAGCAGCACGGTATGGAAGAGCTGCAGCAGGAGCTGCTGGCTTCCAGGAGGTGGGGTCATGGAGACAAGTTTGCCCCTATCTTGGGATTTTATATGCTACACAATGCCCATGTGTAGCTTGCTGGACTGATGCTCCTTAGCCCAAACTGGCTCATCCTTGACGTAGTTGTGTTTACTTTGATCAATAGAGAACTTGCAGCTGATTGTCTCCTACTTTCCATCTGTTGTGTAACCAGTGAGGTGTTAACACTCCTGTCAATAGGAGTCAATGGGGGCTATTTCTGGCCCTTGGTTCCAGCCCTGTGTTCTTCCTCCCCTTCCGTCTCCATTGAGTGTTGAGTCCATTCTCTTTCTGTGTACAGTGAAGAACAGCAGGGGTGATTGCTTTAGCCCCGTGTTGCATCTTTTGTGTCAATATTCTAAATAATAAATAAATATACAGCAGATAGCCATGTGAAAATTGATATCCAAGAAAAGAAATGAGTAGGTCATTCTTCCTTTCAAAACAACTTCCTATCAGTGGCTGGGAATTATGTAAGAACATATTAAAAGCCCTGCAGGCTCAGAGCGGGGTTCAGCTGGCCCAGACTTCTGTTCACACAGAGGCCAATTGGCTGCCCGGAGGGCTCCTCAAGCCCCCTCTGAGCACATCAGACCCGTCCTGCCCCAGTGCCTCAGCAGTTGGTGTACCTGGGCACACCTGCCACTGACCCCAGAGGTACAACTGTGCCAGCAGGACTATGAGCTCTTCCTTCACAAATCTGCCCAGTCCCCTTTTAAGACCTATCCTTGCATCTTGTGGAAGTGAAGAGGCTGTTTGAGCCTGGTATTTTTTAAAAGAATCTTTTAAGACTGAAGGCTACCACTAAGTTTAATATTTAAATAGAATAAATTAGTTATCTAAAGGCCGGGAAGTACTGGGCTAGTGAATGCCACTGCATGCATTCTCTCCTTGTTTTTTGTTTTCAATTTAGAATGGTCACCCTCATGCACTGCCCAGGTGGGAGTTCTGTGCCCCGCACTGGGTCCAGTGCCTCCATTGCCACTCACCACCAGGTGCTCGCTGCTCCTACTGAGAAACACACTACATAAGGATGCACAGCATTTTTCAGCAGACCAGCATTGCACCAAGTGGACATGCCCCACTGGGAACACAGGTGCGAGGACACCTCTGGTCATGTTAGTGGCTGTGCAGGGAAGGGACATGAGCCCCTGAGGGTTCCAGAAGCTCTAATGCAGCCCTTGACTCTCTGCAGTTACCCACCCATGATTTTAAAACCCCAAGCAGTTCCTCTGTCATAGGATGTCAAAAAGCCATCCCAGCTCTCATGCAAGGAGCATATTCAGAAACTGGGTGTGTCTGACTGGGATGCAGTCCGGCAGTCCAATAATCGTGGGATGTTTGCTTCAATAAATGTTTCTTCTTCTGAAGTTGGTGTCTGCTTGACATCGATGCACAAGGAGTTCCAAGGGGAGGGAGCATGTCCATTGAAGGCAGGATCCTGGATGGACATTAAATGGACTGTAGGTCCGTGCAGAAGCACCATTTGCTTGAGAGGCAATCCTATGGAACCTGGATTTACTTCCAAGTAAACATGCATTGATCGGTCTGAAAGCCTCAATAGCAACCTTTTTCATGCCCCCAAAAAGTCATAGTGAGGGAAGGAAAGGGTACCCTACAGAGCCGACAAATTACTCATGAGGTTGCCACCACCCCTTAGCAGCCAGCTCAGCTGAGCCAGGGGATTCTGGGCCCTTACAGGAGATATTGGGGTGCAGAAATAAGGGTTCAGGTTGGCATTCTCTACATAATGCCTAAAACCCCAGAACCAGGACCAAGACCCAGCAGAAACCCCTGGCTTTAGTACTTTAGTAGGCTTAAGGGAAACAAAGCACACACAAACTTTTAAATACGCAATCACTTTATTTCCAAGAGGGGAAAGAATAACAAGGTATACAAATATCAGAGCTAGCACAGAATGCAAAGAAACCTTTTGGAGCGCAGCTGCAGACAAACATAACAAGGCAGTCAGTCACCAAATCCTATCCTACACTTTGCCTAAATAAGAGTCTTCTCACAGGACAGGGTCCCGTCCAGGAACCAACATTCCCACGAGCCCAGAAGCAAGTGGGCACTGACTCCCAAAACCAAAAATGAAGGCCAAAGGGCAACAGTAGTCCACCCACCCCAAACCACTCAGTTTTATATCTCCTGCAGGCCCTTGATAGAATCCCAGAGCCTCCCAAGTCAATCCCTGCCTGGATAGATGCCACAGAGATGCATTTCCTCAGCCAACCACTAAGCAGCTAGATCACTTCTTTGGCCTTCAAGTGGGAAGGAGTGTGTGTGAAAGTTCTCACCACGGCCTAGTTAAAATCTCTTG